AAATAAAAATCTATTTTATCATTAACACTAAATTATCAATCATTATAATAATCTTATTTGAATAAGTTAATTTCTATTTTTTATTTTTACAATATTTTGCTCCCAAACTAATTTAGTTATCTCGTAATTGAAAGGACGTCAGAAAGGACGTCAACATCGTGATAAAATAATATTGTGTGATCGATAAAATGATGACAGCAGGATCGAGATGAAATTATAGTGTGTCGAGACGCTTCCTGTTTCGGTAGGAAATATAATACCGTTTGTTTATGATAACAACGTGTGTCGTCGACGATTTTCCTTCACGGCACGTATCAAAAATACAATCGATATGTTACACTGCAGGAAAATTACTTCCGCGCGGTATTTTCCTGACGTGTCCATCGTGCTTCCTTTTCCGGGTGGCCGGATTAAAATGAAAGCTTTTTCATTAGCAGAGCTTTTAGACATTCAATTTTTACATTAATGGCACGCTGAGAAAACCACGGCCAAATAAAACGCTAATGCCGTGTATAATTTATGAATAAGTAAAAAAAAATCTACAATTTATGAATGCGGTAATTTATGAATGAGTAGAAAGATCCGTGATTTTACTTTTGTCTAGACTTCTAGAACATTAGCTATATCGGAGAATAATTTCCCTATCAGAGCGTGACGATTGTCTGAGTTTTCTAAAATGCTTTCACGGTGTTTGTTTGATTTATGATAATACATTTTCGTAAGACAAATTTAATTTTTATTACTATTACGAATTTTTGTATTGATGAAAAATTTGTGTCAATTTTTTCTTTAACGGAGTTACGAGCGCGGCGCGTTTACAAGTGGCTGCAAAATATTCAATTCGATATAAGGCTCGAATGTGTAACGCGAAGACTACTATCACACTTGCGTCAGTAGCACCTGCGCAAGCACGACGAACGAGTGAAGAAAATTGCTCTATAAAGCCGCCCACGATAAAAATGCGAAACATACGAGCGCCTAGACACAATTACGGATGCCGTAACGAGATTATCTTGCTCGCCCTACATTTTCAATTTTCGTTATAGAAGCCATTGGAATTTAAAGTTCTTTAAATCAGTTGTTAGAGTTATTTAAGCGACTGGTATCGAGAAACTTGGAATTTTTGTAGCAGAATAAATACAAAAATACACAAACAAATAAAAAATAAACTTGAGTAAAGCTAAAATAATAAATTCATATATCGTAAAAGCTAAAACTCAAAAGTGTACGAGCTTTCCTTCGAGATATAATACGGCATACATTGTCAAGGTACCAACGTTTATCGAGACAAGTGTTTTTAACATAACGAGACAGATAGCGAATAATTGCAGCTACATTTCATCGTAAGTAAAAAAAAACGAAGTAAAAAAATATCGGTATCGGGTCATACTTTTCCGAGAAAAATTCCACGGCGACGATCGATTTCTATGTCCGTTCTCCCGGTTACACGGAGTTTTAGAATCTGCCTCAATTGTTATCGATGCATCGCGAGCACTCGCTTTGTTTGCATTTCTACGTTCGCTTCCACGTAACGACAACACGATCAATCGCGACACTCGTTGCGCCGATGGCAAATCGCGCAATGTCGCCGTTTCTTTAGCGAAAAGAAAGTTGGCTAAGCGAGAAACCAATATATTTTGCCGTGAGCGACAGCGTCGTAATTAGGACGATTCATTACGGATTTTCGATGACGATTGAGGCGAGCTTGCGTCTTTAATGTTGGAAAACGGACGGAATTCCTGGCATTCCATTGATCATGATTTCAAAACCATACTCGGCTGCATTTGAACACGCGAGGATTCCCGTTGATTTTCTTTTACAAACGCCCGTTGGCTTAAACGATTTTATTGGCTAGACATATATTTACGCGCGCGATGAGCTGTCCGCCGCTTGACGTAATTCCCGTCTAAGGGGACTGACCCCCAAATATGATGAGACAGCACTGACATGCACATGCGCCGATTCGCCTTTCAATTTCTATTACGATATGCTTCCCGAAGCCAGACCACCGTATCGATGCATATTAATAACTCGTTATTATGCGAAAATAATCGAAAATACATTGAAAATTCGAACGAAATCAAGTTGAATGGTTGCGATATGAATATATAATGATCTTCGATGCGCACGTCAAATTTCATATTGTTTCACGGATGCAGATGGATAGAAAAAAGGGCGAAAAAATATCTATGTGCTCTTGCGTATAAATATATTTATAATATTAAACGATTAGAGGCTTTTGATTGGATCGAGAAATAATAACGTGCGTGCACACGTACTTACATTAATATTAAAAAAAATTATGTTATGACTATACGATCCATGGACTTTTATTTTCAAACAACTCGCAAATTATATAAGCCGTATTTCGTAGATAATGAGAGTGTAACAAAGCGTCGTCGTTACTCAATGAAGTAAATAACAAACACACGTTTTCAACGATAAATGTCCCGTTCCAAGATGGACTAGGCCGGCCAGTCTGTAAATTGTCTGGGAAGCACGTTCGCGACGAATATGTGTGACAAGCCGCGATCGATAAAATTGTAATTAGTGTATATACAGAACTGCGATTGTCTACTTAGTGAGAATATACATAGAGCTGCGGAGCTATTTTGAATTTTGAGTTGAAATACGTTACGTATCTTTCCGTTCAATTATAAATTAGCATAAATATGAAATTCAGTAAACATTTCCATTGAATCTTATCGACACTTTTCCGTAATGTGTTGGTGTTTTTCCGCGTCTCTTGAACTGAAAGTAATGTAATCTCGAAAGTATTAGAATACCAGGAAAATAACGTCGAAGATAATTTCAAAGGTATTAATAGTTTCGGAAATTCCCCGAGAAATAATTCTGACGAGAAACGCAAAGCGTCGTTAAATTTACATTCAGAAGAGAAACGTTGCTCCAAAAAAAATATACATATATATATATTTCTACAGACGATTCGTGTTCGGTGTATTAACGGCTGAATATACGGAGGACGATAATCGAGTGGCTCTTCGCAAAAGACGTGTACTTATGGGTATTTACGAGAAATGATGCGATATTTGTACAGGTGCGCAAACCAACTATAATGCCTTACTGCCCAAATACAATGTCCTTTCTCCGTAATACAAGCATACAAATGCGGCGAATCCGCGCGTACGAGTGGCGCTAATCCCTCCATCCATGTTTGCGAAGAGCAATCGAACTGTGACAAGACACTCCAAGTGTGCGTATAACGTTCGAATGCATTTTTGGAAAAAGGAGAAAAAAATAATAATTGCTACCGTTCCCGATGTTGTTGCGTAAGTCCACCGACGGAAAGATACGATGATCGGATCGATGCGAGATTAAGAGTCTCCGAGATGATGATATCTGCCACGCGATTGACGATTGAATTTATTCCCAACGGAATCGAACGTGTAATATATCGCCGACCTTCTAGGAAACGATAAAAATACCGGTTAGCTGGCGTCGCCACTTCGAGGACCTGCGAAATTACTCGGCGAGCATGTGAAGCTACGGGCGGCCGATAAGAGGAACAATAACTAATAATAAATACACGTCTGAGACGCGACGCGGAGCGTAAAACAGCAACACACGATTGCATGCGAATTGGCATTTATTTGCGGCGAGAAATAGCCGAGGCGTAATGACGTAGAGACTCGACGCGTTAATGATTAGGATTAATTTGTCGGCAATTCGATGCTTTCGCGTGGCGTGCAGCGGAAAGAAAATTCTGACGTGAAAGGGCCGAGGAATTGCCTGACCGTGTCCCATTTTGCGCGCCGATCGAAGACAGGAACGCACGCTGCGAGAATGAAAGGAGCATATGCGGGGCCATTGTTACCGTCGTGAATGCAACGAGCGATGAAAAATAGTTTCCGTCGTCGTTCGCCAGGATGGTTAGATAAATATACGCGAGAGTCGTCGAAGAATAGAACGCGATGATTGTCCGAGTGATGGAAGAATTATCGGCTCCGTGACGTGTTCGTCCAACAACGTCGCTATCATGTAAATTTGTCGGTTTCCTCATTTCCTTAGGCTTAATTAGCGCAAGTTGCAACCGTGTCACCATAAGTGCGATGACAAATGACAATACGCGTGATGCATATGTGAATATGTGACCATTATTATTCATAATTCAAAAGCTGTCGTACTTTCTTTGAACTACAGATGTTAAGTGAGTTAAAAAAAAAATAACGATTGATTGAGAAAAATACATGTTTAAAAGGGTTTTGACTTTAGACGATTTATTTTGATAAAACCTTATTTTAAAATTTTAAATCATAAAGCAGTCAATTTCAATCAATGTCAATATCATATTTTAACTAAACATTACTAATTAGGAGGTTGAGAATTAAAAAGTTGCAAATATATAATACTTTAATGTCAAATATTGTAGTTGTCACCACGGAAGAACGTATAAAAAAAAGCAGAAATGTATTTTTCAATGACATTTAGTCGATAAATTTGATAAGCGTGGCGCATACGTTTCTTGCACATTTCACATAAAAAGAAGCTTCTGAGAATAACATTGTAAAACAAATATCTCTTGTAAACTACGTGATCATATATTTTCATCCACGACGATAAGGCTACACAAATAACGGTAATCGCTGTTTAAAAATATATACTTCAGTGTGCCAGTGATATAATATCATGATTGTATTACGTCAACCATTTCTTTGGATTTGACACGAATATTCGAATAAGACGGAGGATTGCGGACGCGCGGCCCTCAGAAGGACGTAGGCGTCCCTACAATCCCAACGGAGCTTCCTCGCGTTCGAGATCGTAGACGAGCACTTTCTCGAGAACGTGTAATGTACGCGCCATGTAGGCGCAATAAAAATTAATGAGCGGCGAACGACAATAACAGTGTGTTTGGAACATCCTCGAAGTAAAATTTTAAGAAACCATCGTGTACCGTTTTTCTTTTACAAGAAAATTCTTCAAATCTCTTCCCTTTTGTAAGACTACAATTTATATATGCATAAAGGTTGCGTACTCACCGACTCGGGAAGTGGATAGGAATCCCATAATTCCCTGAGGTCGCCCGTTCCCACGTCGTAGTTCCACGCCATGATATTCATTTCGTTTCCTTTAGCTTTCCTGATAATGCGAGCGTCGTCGGTTAGAGGAACATGGTACTCGCCCCATGAAGGACGAAGGAAATTAAAACGCCGACATGCCGTCGCCACGAGGATCCAGCGTTCCTTGATAATGTCACAAGACCGTCAGTATATACCTGAAAGCAAAGATATTGTCTCGTAGTCGCGTGATCTAATATTATTACAAACATTGTTAATTATCTCTCCTTCGTGTGCTAAATTGACGAGAGATTCGCAAATATATAGCGCGCGGTTTAATCACCTTAATTGCGTTAAAGAGATCTCGAGAGATCCGTGGCGGATCTCCCCCTTGGGCTAAGATTAAAGTCTTCCTTCAAGATTATAATAGAAACTTGCTATTTAGAGAAAATAAATTCAGGGCTATATTTGTGATCTTCGGTTAAAATTAGATCGAGAAGAGTGAGAGATAAGAGGAATATCGCGCTTTCGTGGCATATAAATAAAATGAAGGAGGATAGAAAGAGACGCGCGCGCGTCTAGATGAAACGAGGTATACATATACAAAAGTCTCGCTCGATAACAGACAGGTCGGAAAGTCGTTTATATAAGTGTCATTAAAAGATCTAACCGGACGTCGGATGCTGATGCGGTAAGGAGGATATAGATAAACAAACGCGACTTACAGATTAACACACATGCACGTGCGCATCCGTGAACTCAGCGCCGGCATACGGTATCGCGCGTGTCTATTATCCGCCGCGGCCGGTTTTGCGTTTAATGCCTTTTGTCCTATATTACGAGATGATGCATAGCTGCATTACAGTGCCGCGGTGCGTTCTAACGAGTTCAATGGACCTGTCTTTATGGGCTAAGTATACCATTCGCGAGAAAGAGAAGAGAAAAGAGTGTGAGAGAGAGAGAGAGAGGAGAGAAAGAGAGAAAAAGGAGGGGAGCTGCTGCGACTGTTGCGCGGTAACGCGAACGACATCACGAAATTGCGAGAAGTTACGTTACGTGCATCAATTCGTAATCTTCTATCTTACGTATTTGTTACAATTCCATTACGCGCGATCTTTTTCAAATAAACGCAACGACGAACGGTTACGTTTCTTAGGTGTGAGCTACAAGTTTCTGAATCCTTTATATTTACGTTGGACAAAAATAAATCTTTAGATAAGGAATACCAATCGAGAGTGTTATCTTGGAGTGCGGCGGGGTATCTCGGAGTATGAAGTTCAATTGAGCCACTTCCCGCGTATGTAACACGCGCAACCGTCCAGAAATCACGGCGAAGGAGGCTCAGGAGAATTCCAATCGGCCTTGCTCACCATTAGAAGAAGAAATTAATTTCTCGTTACACGTATATAGCGCGTCATGTGCGGCATAAATTCCTTCCTCTAAAATCTGGCCTCTCTTTTATGACTACAATTGGATTCTTTTTACGGCGAGATAATGATTCCCGATAAGAAAAAAAGATCCATGCATAAGTAAGGAACTAATTGTAAGTAATCTTTGAGTCTGATAAGACTCCTGCTGAAAACTGATGTTATGTACACGGCATCGCAACAGCATGGGCGATGCGAGGATTATATGCCTCGATGTATTCAATCGCCGATCGTGCCGTGGGATATAATCGCAAGGATAATCGCGAAAGGACATCGACAACAATCGACAATTACGTATGTATATGCATTATTTCAGATGCGAAACGGGCTAAAACGTTAATTATACTAAACGATGTAGATACAGTTATCCTGCTTTCTCATCAAGCGTGCGCATCGCTCGAGAGTTATTCCAAGCATTATACGTTTACTACCTATAGATAACGAAATTTTTATTTCTTATCTTTTTTTATGTCAATGAAATGACAAACCTGCGTGACTTCCTCTGAGAAAGGCATCCGTGCAAAGATCAGATAAATATAGTTGAAGGATGAGAAGTTGATTAAAAAATTGGCATTCGCATGCGAAATTTTAGAAAGGTTTTGGTTTCTCGGAACATAACATTCGGTTGCCTCGGGTAAAAATTAAATTTTTCAACCACTATAATTATTATTGATTTAATTAAATCAGATATTTATATCCACGGGATGATAACGTAACAATCTGTTACTTAATATTTGCATCACCTCGTATCATATTACTGATATATATATATATATATATATAAATATATATATATATATATATCAGAAATATATATATATATATATTGCTATCGAAAACGCTCTCGAAAATTATTTCCGAACGTATATCTATTCCATTTACTTCCACGAATAAATCATCGTTTCGAAGGTCCGCTGATAAACGATTCCAGATATCAACTTTGGGCGTCGTTTCTCTTCGATTTTATTTTTTTTTTCGTCGGAAATTTTCAACCGCGTTCTATCTCACGAGACATACATCTACTCCTCTTTTTCTCTTCGTTATTTTATTTCTAAATAACATTGCTTATTCGCGCTAAATGTCACTTCCAATGCAGTCGTCCGACTCGACTTTTCGATCCGACCGACCTTTCGACGCGCGCGAGCGATTCTACGTAATCGCCGCCGATGCTAATCGGTAAACTGGTATTTCCGGAAAGAAAAGGAGAGATATATACCATAGATCGGACGGACGGGTAGAATGCGCGAGATTCGAGCAAATGCGACGAGCACGTGAAGCGTTCTTATCGCGGACACAATACGTCAAACTTATAAATACTATTTTCAGCGCGGGTTTATCGCTAAGAATATACGCTTCGTTTCGTACCTTCGGTATACGATCGGTACTACGCGCGAGTGGAGCGTTCCAGGAAATCGCTGCCGGCGAATAAGATCCGCGGTACAAGTCGCTGAACGAGACAATAAATTTTATCTTAGTATTATATTATCGCACATCAACGACCGCTATTCAGCGCGGTTTCAACCAAAGACGGATCGATTTTCGTGCAACGGCATCGCCGAGAATCGAGGGAGCCGTGCGTCCCGAGAGATCCATCAATCGGCGAGAGGAGTCCCACATTCCGCTGATTTCGCACGCGTGCGTCATCATCTCGCTCCGATCTCGCTGCTGAGAGAGTTCTCTCCCGGGAGCTCATCTCCGCTGTTCTCGAATATCCGCGCGCCCGGCGCGGCACGGCGCGGCGCGCGGGGTGACCCATCACGCCGCGCGATGATAGATCCGGTCGTTGTAATCGGAGCGCACCAGATGGAACGGAGCGCCGCTCGCCGGCTCGGCTCGGCTCGGCGGCGCGTGCACGTGCACCAGGTCGTATCCGGCGTCTTTGCGCGCCGCGGCGTCCGTCAAGCAGCGGTACCGGCGCGGCGCGGCGCGGCGCGCGGAGGATTGACGAGAGGAAGAAAAAGAAGTAGCTGCGGGACAGTTGTTACTTGTTACTCACCAAACGAGAAACGGGCGAGGGAGGGCAGGGCGTCCTCTCTCGTTGAGACCTCCGACGGGCGGGGAATCACAGATGGTAATTCTTGGTAATTCTCTAAGTATGTTACGTTATAAGGCACAACACTGTATACCGCTCGCAGCCCCCGGCGCGACGACGACGAGTACGACGACTAAGCCAATGAACGGCGAGGAAAGCGGGACGGCGGCGGGATCGATAGCCAACACCCGCGGCACCCACGAGAGTTGTCGCGCGGAGCCGCCAATCGCGAGGAACCGGCTGTTTCGCAAACGCGCGTACGCACGCACCGAGCAATTTGTGAGCACTGGCACGTGGTTATCGATTTTCGAATGTTAGCGCGAAGGTCTGCCTGCCTGCCTGCCGTTGGAAAACGGATGTGTGCCTGTCGAGCGGACGGAGCGGGATGCGCGCGGTACGACGTTCTCCGCGTGAATGCGAGAGTGCGAGATGCGAGACCCGGGACCGGCGCGGCGGCCGCACGTGTTGGCGCCGCAAGACACTTCAATCGCCGCGATTCAGCCAATAGCGGCGAACCACCTGTTACCAGCGTACTGAGCTATCAGTTGAGTAGTGAACGGCCGCAATGCGCGCGCAGCCTTATCAGTTGTGACGCGCGTCGTCGAGCGGACTTTTAAAAGCGTATGGAAACCGCCCCGGGTTTCTCGGTGACGCGTCTCGCAAGTCACAGCTTGTCTGCGAACTGCGAAGCAGTGTTGGGATTCTTAATAACAAATAAAATAAATTTATTTGTAATTTATAACTTTTATTAAAAAATGTAACGAATAAAAAAAATAATCGATCACGAAAAATAATGCGCCAATGGAAAATTAAAGTTTACTTTACTCGTGAACGTTATAATTGGCTATAATTTATTAATATTTTTAATGTTAAATAAATTTACAATCAATAAAATAAAAATAAAAATTTATTTTAATAAAAACCTATGTCATAAGTTTTAATTAATAAAATAAAAAAAACATATTAAAAACCAATTTTATTTATAAGTAGAAAAAGAGAAATATATAATAAAAAAGTACATAATCAATTTTAGTTTCCCAAAAGCGTAGATTTCAGAATAGTTGGTTTATAAAAAATGACTTAAAAGTAATTTTTGTCAAAATTTATTTTTTATTTGATAAATTTTTATTTAAAAACGCTTTCAGAAACACACATTTTTCAAGTATATTGTCTGGTAGTCTATGAGATTCAGCTGTATTAATCATCGTAACAAATAAAAATAATCTTTTCACTGAAACCGAAGAAGGAATCAATGTATGAATAATGATAATTGAATTTTAAAAAAAACTTTCTCTATTATTGTGAGATATTTCTTTAGGCAAGAAATCTGAGAGATTCTCCTAGATTAGGAAATCCAGACTCTCAGACTTCTTGCCTAAAGAAATATCCCACAATAAAGAAAGTTTTTTTTTAAATTCAATACATTGATTCCTTCTTTGGCTTCGGTGGAGATGAGATTTATTTTTATTTGCTACGATGATTAATACAGACAAATCTCATCGACTCTGACAGTATGTTTGAAAAACGTGTACTTTTGAAAGCTTTTTAAAGTTAATATGTATCAAACAAAAAATAAATTTTGATAAGAATTACTTTTGAGTAATTTTTTTATAAACCAACTAACATTCTGAAATCTACACTTTTAGGAAACTAAAGTTAATTATGTACTTTTTTCATTATATTTCACTTTTTCTACTTATAAAAAGAATTGTTTTTTTATTTTGTTAATTAAAACTAATGACGCAGGTTTTTATTAAAATAAATTTTTATTTTTATTTTATTGATTAAATTTATTTAAGTTCTTTGTTTTAATTTATTTAATACCAGCTTGAAACCAGTGCTCACATTTTACTCTTTTTCATCCCTTTAGGGAATGCGAATTTCTAAAAATCCCTTCTTAGTGGGTGCTTGCATGGAAGGAATATACAGGGTGATTAGGAAAGAGTTACCGTCACTTACGGAGCTCATTTCTGAAGACATTTCTGAAGACATTTTGAGCAAAAAATGTCATGTAAACCCGGAACCTATTCTGAATAATATTTACAGAGTTATACTAATTTGAAGATTGTTTGTAAAAGACCTCTTTCTTTAGGTTGAGGAGTAATAGAAAATCGAGCGTAATCCTGAATATCACGTGGTTGAAGAGAAATTACCTCCATAAGTGACGGTAACTCCTCCCCAATCATCTTGTACTCCTCGAATTTCACGTTTCTAGGTTTAAGGGTTTGGGCGTTGTTGAGCGTTGTTGAGGATCAGTCAGTCAGTCAGTCAGTCAGGACATTTGTTTATATATATATATATATATATATATATATAATAAAGATATAGATTAAAAATACTAATTAATAAATTATAACTTTACGTTCACGAAATATTATTTGTTAACAAAAATTTTTATGTTCTTTATTTTATTTTTGAATAAAAAATAACGAATAAAAAAATTATTTGTTATTTGTAATCAAATAAAAATTTATTCGATTAATGTATGTACAACACTGACCGCGAAGGGAAAATAAGAAACTGAGTCGTTGGATTGTCTGAGTTTCAGCGACGAAGATGCATGACGAGATCGCGCGCGAGAAATTGCAAATATAGCAAAAAGAAAATCGGTCTGCATCACTTCCGACTGATAAGCGTTATCGTTCGTCTCGTTTTACTTCCAAACTTTCTCGTGTTCTTTCGAAGCGTTCGATGTAAGAGAGAGAACGATTCGTTTGTGCTCCGATTCGTAAACTGGAGTCGAGTGGAGTGCGACGGGGCGATGGCAGTTCTGGGTTATAATAGCGTGCGGCAGGATCTGACAGACTTAACGGTATGCGGGCGCGGAAAGCAATGCGGGCAATCGATGCACGCACCCGCAACCGAACCGAACTGGAATATATGCGTCTAATCCCGAGGCATTTACCCGCGATTATTTAACGACCGATGAAAATAACGCTTGATGAATATTTCTCACAATAGGCCCGCTCGTTCAGTTGCACTTCCTGGACTTTGTTCCTCTTCTTCTCGCTGCGTCTGATGTGCAGAATGTCACAATTGTATTTCTCTTTTTAAGTCGGCTTCTCTTTGAAAATCTAGAATAATTTCTGTTCCTCTCACAAAATCTATTACATTTAGTACCGAGTATCTCAAGCTTTAAATTGGGTTTTTGTTAAGATAAAAGCTTAAAATTTTCTAAAGAAGTGGCGTTTTATCATGTCAAAGGATATATAATTTAGTAATATTTTATTATTATTTATTTGTAACGTAAAAATTAAATGCTTCGACATATCTTTACGAAGACAAAATAGATCGAGTTTAGCATACAAGACTATATTGGTACGTCAACTATATTTTGCGCTACTTTGTTGAAGACTTTTATATAGATCTCTATTTGCGCGTTTGGCAGAGCTAGAGCGTACTAGAACATGCATACACGGATTTAAGTTTATCTGATGTAACACACGTCTGTTTAGCGTAAACGGAAAATGAAAACCGCACAGTCATTATCCCTCATCTAGCGCATCAGCAAATGTGCAATGGGAACGAAAGATGGGAATATAAGCTGCGAGGAGAGTCAGCTGGTCCACACAGGTGCGAACCGTCATCGGGGGGGTTTCCACATATCTCGCGGCCTGCCGTTAATTATGCGAATTCACAACGCGTATCGCGACACGCGCAATTTGCGCGGAGGACACGCGGACTGTGTCTAGCGCGACGCCGGATATTCAATTAGCGGAAAGAGGTCTTACCTCCTTCCTTCGCCCGCCCTCACGTCGACCCCATTGGGAAAGCGAGTCGTGCGGCACGACAGAAATTGTCCGGACCCGTTTAGGCGCTGAATAAAATTACCGCGCACATTGTTGCGTGCACAATGGGATATGATATTCAGCCGGCACGCTGGCAGTCTGGCAGTCCGTTTGCTACCGTCTCATCACCTGCACCGCGCCGCGCTATCGATTTTCCAATTATCTCGCGACATTCCGTCGCGGCATTTTGTCCACGTATATCGGCACATACGTGCTCGCGGCGATCAGTTATACATATTTTAACAATGTCAGCGAACGATCTATAGAAATATCTCGCGTGCTGTTATAGCTTTTAACGCGAATTGGCATGGGGCTCTAGGATATCGCGCTCGTCAATAGACATCGCGTGCAAAAAAGAAAAAAAATAACGGGTCATGAAGGACGCTGCTGTTATTTTTAACCCGCCGCTATATTTGCAGCGTGCACGCGGAATGACGCACGAATCTTGGGTTGATTTTTCAAAATAAAGATTTTTATTAGATCTTGTTTTTACATCGTATCGTTTACGATTCAGATATCATTGAGTCCACACCAAGTAGTAGAAAACTGTGTACTACCAATTACATGCTTCTCTCTGCAGTAAGATTCTACATGTATGTTCTTTTTTACCCCTTTTTCGTATCAGGTACAATACAAGGCTGAACAAAATATAATCGTGCGATTTTGTTCGGATCAAATCTTCTTCTCGATAACGGTATTATCATTTAAAAACGTAATTCTGCTCTTCGCTCGTGTAGTACCTCTTATACACAAGGTAATTTATAAGATATATACATATATATATATATATACATATATATATATATATAT